GATGCCAAGGAAAGGAAGTAGGAGAAACAGGCTTGTGCTCACAAACACCACATACTCATAGACCCAAGTGTCCATACAGGCCAGGGGCAACATGGCTGGAACATCACAGAAGAAATGGTTAATGGACCTAGACTGGCAATAAGGGATATGAAGGGCATAGACTGTGTGAGCTAAGGAGTTGAGGGAGCCCAATATCCAGGATCCTATGATCATCTTCAGACACATCATTTTGCTCATGCGAATGGGATAATGAAGTGGGAGGCAGATGGCCACAAAACGATCGTAAGCCATGGAGGCCAAGAGCAGCCCTTCTGAGCCTGCCATGGTCAGGAAAAAGAAGGATTGCACTCCACAGTCCAGTAAAGAGATGCTTTTCTGGCCAGAGAGAAAGTTGAATGCCATCTTGGGAACAGTACTAGAGATGTATATCATGTCCATGAGGGAGAGCTGGCTGAGAAGAAAGTACATGGGGGTGTGGAGTCTGGGATCCACACGTATGAGGTGGATCATTGTTGAGTTGCCAAACAAGGCTAATGAGAATACGAGGATGATGAGCAGTAAAAGAAGAAGGCCAGTTCGATTTTGTGGAAGCAACCCCAACAAAATGAAATCACTTGAACTTTGATTCCATTTCTCCATCTTGAGAAAATAAAATACTATGAAAATATAAACTATATCAGGAGAATCAAGAGAAGAATCAAGACTCTCAAGAATGATTACAATGAATTTTTACCTCCAGATCTGTTATTTTTAATATATTTTAGTATTACAATTGAAAATTCCTTTCCACTTGTCCGGGTCAACTTTCTTATGCCAGAGAAGTCTGCATGGTCTTTATACAGTCTCAGGCAGCTACATGAGATAGCTATTTCCTCCTGAACAACTTCCTAAGTTTGCTACTCAAGATTTAACAAGCCCTATAAACCGAAGAAAGCACAGTTCTTTTATTCCCCAGCATCCCACTTACTCTTCCCTCTGCTTCCCCTTGTTTCCTGGCCCTCCTTCTACATCTGGTCCTACTAGAGAGTGATAAGCAGAGGTCCTTGATGCTCAGCCTCTCAAATTCTCCAAAGATACGCTTTTCCCTTCTTAAGAATGTGCCGTTACCCTCAATCACTATTCATGAATGGTATGCTATGAGAACCACACTAACTATAAGGTGCTATTACTATGCTCCCACTTCCCCAGTGTTGCTCCCAGTTTTGGAAAATTTACAGATATCTAATATACTTTAACACTGGAAGATTTATTTAAAGTAAATTATACATAATAAGGCTTCCAGATTGCACAATATTTATTTTTCATTGTATTTTGCATCTCTGTAAACTGCAGATATAAATGAAGTTTGTTTAATATGGTTTGGTGGTTATATGACAAACAAATTACACTTACACATATACATAGATATATGTATATCGATCTTTGAGATGCAGTAATTCAATAACTTGTGGGAACTCATCTTCATAAAACTTCCTTTATTCTAATCCTACAGCAGCAAAATCATGTAAATTTGGGTATGGATGTTTTCATTTTCATTATAGTTATGGTCACTGATATGAAGAATAACTCGAATTTACAGCTGGAATTGATCCATTTGTCCATCTGAAATGTAGTAAGGGTTTTCTAATGCTTTATATGCTCACAATACCTCAATCACTTCAGTTAGTGTAGCTATCGCTGCTTTATCAGGAAACGACTCCTATTTCCAGAGTGAGCCAGCAATGAGTCATGGGTTTCCTGGAAGATTCTGTCTTTTTCTCTTATTCTGCAGCGTGGTTTTCCTACTCTGTCAGCAGGATTGAAAAGCAGAGGCAAAGGCGATCCTTCAGGATTAGTGTGAGCACTTGTCTATTCTTTAATAACAGCTCATCTATATATTTTTAATTTATTATATTATCTATTTACTTGGGTTCGGGGTGTAACATAGTACGTGTGTGTGTGTGTGTGTGTGTGTGTGTGTGTGTGTGTGTGTGTGTGGG